CATGCCCTCCTACCCAACTGGAACCCAAATACCCTCCCCCACACCAAGGGCCTCGGCACCATTTTCGCCAGCTGGCAAAGGATCCCACGGTGTGCAGCCACCAGGCTTCTGGCCACCGAGGGAGACCTGCAGTGTGGGGAGTGGGTGTGAACTGCCGTTAGCCCGAGTCTGGGCCCCACAAAAAACCGCCACCCTGTCTTCCCAGTCGGGAGGGAAGGAAACAGACTCCTAACAACCAGGGGCCAGACTGGCCCCAGAAACTCAGGCCCCATCAGCATTATGGGGCCAGCCACACGTGCGCCCAGCTGCTCTCCTCGGCCCTCGAGCTCTCAGGAACACAAAGGAGAAAGTGGGGCACAAGCACCATGCAGTAACGGACCATCCTTCTTGGCCGGTTCATGACGGAGCACCGAGAAAGGCCAAGCAAAGCAACTCAAAAACTCTGGCAACCAGCAAGGGTCTCAGCACAGTGGCCATTTCCAGGAGGAGTGTTTTAAAAAGAAGAGTGTTCCTTCATCCCAGCACTGATCAGCGTGAAATACGATGGGTACAGAGATCCTGTTCACGGTTCAACAAAACCCAGCAACCAACACACAGTAAAGGGCATTTTAAACTTAGAAACAGCCTAAATGTGCTCAACTTCAGAAAGCCTGGGACCCCCAGGAGGAAGACCTTCTAGCTGCCGGGTCACAGGGTAGTCCGAATGGACTGGAAGTTTCCACGTATGCAATAGAAGGAGGCGCAGACACAGGCTTATCAACGGGGAAAGGGTACAGCAGTAACACGACACCAAGGCCGGAAACTGCCGGAAAGGAAGCTATTGATGAATCTGACCACACAAAAATTAAACACATCCGTACAAAAAAACCCCTAGCAGCGTTGCAAGATAAATGGCAAACGTGCGTGGGGCGGGGGGGAGGGGGGCACCGTGCCAGGGTACGGCTTTGTAGACCCGGAACCGGGCAAAGACACGGGGCCACCATGGTCCCAGCAGGAGGCAGGGGCTCGGGTGGGTGCCAGCGATCCCCCAGAGACAGATGCCCGATGTGAGAAGCAAAGAAGACAGTCAATCCCACCAGCAGTCAGAGAAACTCAAAGCATTAATACAATCCTTTCACCTTTCAGACTGTCAGAAATCCGAAACGTCGCCAGCAGCCAAAGCTGGTGAGGATTCAGGGAAAGAGGACTTCTGAGCGTGCCCAGAACAAGCAATGGCCGTGCGTCCCGGCCGCTCTGTGCTCTGCCTTCCTCGTCTCGCTCCTGTCTGCGGCCGGTCCCCCACCTCCCCTTCGTCTGCGTACCCCGCACACAGCAGCCACATCTTGGGTGGCCGCCATGGAAGGCACACCCAGGACAGCAGCTGTGCACAGAGGGACCGTTCCTACGGACCCCAGCAGGTCAGCTGTGTCAAGGTGCCTTACGTGGACACAGTTCTGGGGTGGCAAGGTCATTCCTACGTGCAGGAACATGAGCACACAGAGATGCTCACTGCCAGGTTTGTGATACTGTGTTTGCGAAGAAAATGGAAACACCCCAGTATCCTACAGCAGGAAATGAAGTAAGCAGAGAACATCATGTCCACACGGAGCAAGGCTGAAGGGCAGGGACTCGGCTCTGGCCACCCGTCAGAACCGCTAGCCGGACAAGATAGGGGTGCCGAGCTCCACCCCCAACGGGAATTCCTGGGGGGCGGGGACCCGGCATCCGTAGTTTTAAGGGCACCATGGAGACTAGCTCCCAGCCAGGCTTGAAGGCCGCCCTTGTGAATCCAGCCAACAAATGCTGTAGATCTATCAGATGTTGGCGACATCCCACTAAGTAAAAAAGCAGGTTACGACCAAACCATATATGGAATGTGATCCCATTTCTGCATCAAAGGAAAAAAGTGTGTTTCCACGGCTAGAAGTGTGAGAACATTCCTAGAACAAAGCTGCAGAAGACACACACTGACATGTTTGCTGCGGAGAGTCTCAGTGCTAAACCTACACATCTAGATTTTCCTATTTAGGGCAACTGTAGGAAAAACAGGAAAGCATACACATGTATACATTTTAATGCTTCTTAATTAAAAATAAACAAAGGATTTCTTTTTACATTTTAAGAAAGGTGACTTGAGAATCTGGTGGCCTCCCGTCCTGGTGTGCTGCCCACCCACCCAACAGACCTGGGCAAGGTGTTCTGCAGCCTTCAAGGGCTCCCTTATTCCCAGTCTTCTCTGGGGGAGCAAACCTCGCAGTGATTAGTGATCCCCCACTAGGAAGCTAACGTCACATTGGGTTTGAGTGCTGGCCATGACTATGGAGAAGGGCGGGCACCCCACTGGGTTGCGGACCTGCTCAGCAGGGGAGCTGGAGCCCCCTCAGCACCGCTCAGCAGCCTCATGACCAAGACCATGTGGACCGTGTGGACCGTGTGGACGAAGGGGCTCGCGAAATAGCGCGGCTCTGGGGCAGGGCCGGCGAGGAAAGACAGGTCCCTGGCAGGTTCGGCCCCTGAAATCCACGGCTCCCAGAAGCCAGCGAGGGATGCGAGGGGAGGAGGTGTGGCATTAGGGAGGGAGGGAAAGGTGCCCCTGGTTCCCGCGTGAGACAGCGGCGCAGAGAATCTGCTCCTGCGCCCGGCGCCTGCCAAGTAAGCATGGGGGCTCTAGACTCCGCGGGGCTGACGGGGACAAGGACACTTCTCTATCACAACCACGCTTTTTAGTTGGGATTTACCTGGCACTCTGTGAAACTGCCTTTTTTCTTTTCTTTTATCCTTTTCTCTGCATACCAAACTTGATATATTAATTGGGAGTTTTAATCCTAAAAATTCATCAGAAGGTCTTCTGTTGCCATAGCAACCGTGCAGGCACAGTAAATGCACGTCTCCGGCACAACACAGCCGTCTCTTCAAGCCCGCACAGCAGCAGGGCCAGCAAAGTAATGCAGCCCCCGTCCGAAGGGGCTGGGGGGCGACTTCACACCCGGCCTGGAAGAGAGCTGGGGTTCAGGGGCCACGGCCTGCCCCCGACTCACCTTCCTCCGTCCCAAACCCCATTCCCTATTCCTTAAATAAACCCATGGCCCTCTCTGCAAGCTTGTGCCGAGACGCTTGAGCCGTAGGTGCCCCGACGATGACACGCACACGCGGGACAACGTGGCTGTCCAGCCAGATGACACGGACGGCTGCCGCGCCCAAGCTCACCAAACAAAGCCCAGATAAGTCCCGACGGTGGGTTCAGTTTGGGGATGTGGCCGCTGTGCCAAGTGATGAGCAAGTAACTGATGTCACATGTCCTAAAGAGCAAGGACCTGTAGCAGAGTCAGCGCCCCGCCCCCCACCTCCCGAAGCAGCTGCGGCCTCGGCCGTCCCACTCCAGGCAAATACAGGGGTTGGGGGATGCGCCGAATAATTCTCAAATCAGATTGTGAGCAGCATCGACAGATTCTGTGCTCTTTTTGCCTTTTTAATGGTCCATGACATCTGAGACATAACACACTGTGAGCCAATAGAAAAATCCTACGTTAAACAGCTGAAGGCAGCGCCCGTGCAACGTCAATTTCTCTACTTCCACGTTCTCTGCCTCTGAGAGCACAAGGCTAAGGCATGGAAAGTGTGGCCAGCTCTTGGCCGACACCAGCGAGCGCGGAACTCAGATGTGTTTCTCAGACATTTTCTCATCGTGCAGCCGGAGAAGCTAGCCGTCAGTCTGTTTCCTGATCAGTTCCTAATGCACTCTGAGCTTTCCTTACTCGGAATATTTACGTTGAAAACAAAAATGCATAACATAGGAAAGAGTCACAGCACTGAGTTCTGCTGCCCCAGAGCTCAGGGCACAATGACGGCAGACCCAGAACACACTGGACTGATGGGACAGTGCGGAATGCCCCTCCCCTGCTGAACCTGACCGCGCTCAACAGCCCGGCACCCCCTGGGCAGCCCACGGCAGCCTCTCTGTCACTCCGATGACCACCCGCACACGGCCCGCACGCTCACCACCACTGAGGCCTGAGGTCGTACTACTGTGATTTCCTATTATGCTTAAATTATTTATCACAATAAATAGTTTGGGCTCCTGTGCTGGGCTGTGCTCTAAAATTATAAATTATAAAAGACCTCTGCAGGCTGCCTACAGATGAAAAAATGCATATTTCAACTATTTTAAGAAAATGTCAAAAAAACATCAAATGTGTCATCATTGTACCATTTAAACTCTCTCCGTGACATTCATAGAAAAGAGCTGTATGTTTGCGTGCGAATGTATCCCAGTGCCCCAGAGGCAGACGTTTCCTGCAGGTAGGTGCCAAGTGAAAGGTGGCCTGTCACGTGTTTGCTATGGGCACCTGTCTCCGCGTGGCCACTCAAGAGATACAGGTGGGTGGTCTGGGTCAGCAGCTCTACCTGCAAGAGGACCTGAAAGGAAACTCTCAAAGGGAGTTCCCAAAGGGCAGGTCTCTGCACAAAGGCAAAGCCATCTCCACCGCACATCTGAGCCCAAAGGTTGGGCACGTGGGGGCCACACCACACTGTCAGCCGCAGACTGAGAGCTCCTGGGGCCAAGGACCCCCCCCCCCACACCTGTGGGGCAAGCATCTTCCTTCGCAAAAGCGGCACACCACGGCTGCAGAGTAGACCAAGCCTGCACACCGCCCCTAAAAGGAAAATGAACACATGCAGCCCTCCCCACAGTGGGCGGCTAAGCCCGCACCACTCCGACCATGGACGCTCCCCCCGCAGGGCAGGCCCGAGCCCACTCCCGCCGCTGCGCCGCCACTGGACACGGAGGAGGCAGGAGGGAGCCCTGGATGCGCGTGGGCACCGCAGGCAGCATCCGCGAGTTTCCTCGGAAACCGAGACGCCCCGGGATGCCTTCCCACCCGGGTGGTCGCGGTGTCTGGACGCGAGGAAATCCTACCGCCGCGGCCCCTCTGCGAGAGCGCGCAGAGTCCCCATGCGGCGCGGGTCCCCACGCTGTCCCCGGGAGCGGCCCGGGGCCCCCGCCGTGCGGCCGCGCTCACCGTCCTCCTTGTCGTCAAACACCGGCCTCCGCGCCGTGGCCGCCGACATGGAAGAGCCCATTCTCTTCCTCCACTTGCTCCACGGAAACAGGGGGCGCGGCTGCGCGCGGGCATCGCCCGCGTCCCGGGCCCGGGGCTGGCCGGCGGCGGGCGGCGGCGGGGCCGGGGGCGCGTCGGGGCCAGAGGGGCGCGCGCGGCTAGGGGGCGCCGCCGCGGCGCTGCTGCCCCTACGCTCCGCGCCGCTCCTCATCGCCGGGCCTGGGTGCGCGCCGCGGCCGGAGCCGGGGACATGGCCCGCCCGCCGGGCGGGGAGCGGGAGCCGTTGTCAAGGCTCGCCGTGCGCCCCGGCCTCGGCGCTGGCGGGTCCTGTGGCTGCCGGGCGGGTTTTGCCGACAGCCAGCGCGCGGGGGTGGGGCTGGGGCGGGGCTGGCGGGAGGAGTCGGGGTGGAACCGAGCGCTGGGGGCGGGACGGGGCGGAGACCCGGCGGGCTGGCGCGGGAGGTGGCGCGCCACGCCGAGTGCCCACCGCCCACCTGGGGAGGGGCCTGGTCCGCACGGACACTGGGGCCGCAACACCGACTAGAAGGCGGAGACAAGAGCGAGGGAGGAAAGGCCACGATTCCCTCCGGGTATCCTGGGACCCCAAAAGGATGGGAAGAGTCCGGCTCTGCAAGGCGGCGGGGACTAGGGGCTCCCCTTGGGTCTCCCCACCCCCGCGGCCTCCGCGAACAAAGCTGGCCGCCCGATATGGGGCGGCCTTGAACTTGATCCTGCGGCTCTGCGCTTCTCGAGGCCGCGCGCCGGGCCCGGGAAGGGACGCTGGGAAACGGCCGCGCGGGGGCCGAGGCTGGGTTGGGGTCAGCGCGTGCACGCCGGTAGTCCCGGCCGGGTGCCCATCCAGCCCTGCGGCTGCGCCCCGGGAGGGAGGGGGCGGGGCGGGCGCTCCGCCGGGAGCCTGGCTGCGAGCGCGCGCGCACTCACGCGCTCGTGCACACGCGCTCTCCGGGTCTCCTTGGCTGGGTTCTCGCAGTGAGGCCGGCTGGACACCAAGCCAGAGCGGGAGCCCCTGGTCCGGGTGCAGGCCGCCGGCCCTCCCGGGAACCGTGCGTCCGAGTTGCCCAGAGTCCCCTGGCCCTGCCCGGGTCCGAAGGGGCCTCGGCGCTCCAGGTTTGACCTCGGTGAGCCTCCTCCGCCCCTGCTTGCAAGGCCACGGGAGACCGCGGGAGTAAAGCGCTCCGCACAGCTGACGCCCCAGGAGAAGGCTCTTTCAGTACCGCCTAGCTTCCTGCGCTCTAGACCTTGTCACTGAAGAATCTTTTTTTTGTGATGGGTTGACTTATGGAAGCCTTAAGTTCTGCCTGGTGCACAGCCCCAAAGCCGGTCATTCCTCCTCCTCCCGCCCCCCATCCCCGGTGAAATCCTGGAAGGGCCTTCTGCTTACCCACAGTGAGAGCGGATCCCCGTCCCCCCGCCTCACCCCGAGTAACCAGGCCCTGTGGGCGGATTTCCCACGCAGCCGCTCCTCCCTCTGCGCACATCCTTCAGCCACCCTGGGCTCTGCCCTGACCTCACAGCCCTTCTCCTGGCTCGACCCCCCATCCCAGCTTGTGGTACTCAGTCTTGGCGGTCCCCACTCGGGTCTCTTTTCATGGTAGGCTATGCTCACCCCGCCTTTGAAATTCAGTGTGGCTCCTTGACCTGCTTGACCAATGAGATGTGAGCAGAGGTGACCAGTGTCCGCCTGCCTAAGAGGGAGCCCGCATCGCTTCGGACCACCTGCAGACCAGCCTCAAGCATGCAGGGCATGTCTTAAGCCATCCAGATGGGGGGAGTTACTTTTACCTGAGCAGAACCCAGGTTAGTCCCACTGACCATCTACCCACCGCCAGTGTCCCTGCCTGGCTGACATGTGTGCATATCCCGTCTGGACGTAAACTGAGGCCTCCCAGATTGTGCTCAGCCTCCCTCCCTGGAGCTCCATCCAGCACTCCGGTCCTGCCAGTCGCTGTGCTAGCGGAGCAGGTGCCCTATAGGAATTCATCCTGCAGGAGCGAATGCAGGAATGTTTTTGAAAAGGGGGGGGCAGTGAGGCCAGGGTTATGCTTGGAGCCACCGTCCCCCCAGACTGCACATCAGAATTCCCCCAAACCCACAGCAGCCTTGGATTGCCCAATGCGGACTGACCACCCTATTTTATCTCCTCTCCTTCCCAGACCCTCTAAAGCTAAAGGGGGCAGAAACAAAATAAAAAGGTGTAAGCAACCCCTGCCCAGAGGAAACAAAAGAAGAGATTTTATTTTTTTTTTTTTTAAGATTTATTTATTTGAGAGAGAGAGAGAGAATGAGCCGTGGGGAGGGGCAGAGGCAGAGGGAGAAGCAGATGCCCACTGAGCAGGAAGCCTGACTCGGGGCTTGATCCCAGGACCCAGAGACCAGACGCCCAACCCACCGAGCCACCCAGGCGCCCCAAGAAAAGACTTTAGAAGGATAAAAATGTCAGTGGATTCAGAAAGTGGCTGGAAAAGTTACAGGGACCATTGGAGAGACTGAGGGCTTGTAGGTAACAGGGAGCACCGGGAGCGGGGCCACCGTGGGGTGGGGGGAGGAGCAGTAGAGCCACAGGGGCGACCTCCAGCGAGGGCAGTTGGGCACGGACAGTCCTTCTCTGAAAGTGACCAGGGCTCTTGTCTGAGAGGCACCAGGCCCAACAGAAGACAGTGAGGGGACCAGCAGAGATGAGTGGGGCCTTCTGCACACTGAACTGGGAGCCCCAAATCCCCAAGCAGGCACCCTCCCCGGGGTCAGGACATAGGAAAAACCTCCTCTGGGCACACTGAGCACCTCTCAGAAGACCCCTGGGCCCTAGGATTGTGGGTCCCTCACAGGCCCCAGCAGAAGAGAGCAGGAACCAGCACAACAGATGGGCCTACAGCTGGCCTCCAGGCTCAGGGCACAGCTCTGTCCGGGAAACCCCCTGTGCCTGGCCATGGGGCGGGGTCTCAGGAAGCCCAGGGACTGGCTATGCAAGCTGGAGCAGGCCCACAGCAGGGCAGGAGACAGAAAAGGTTAGGGGCTGCCTCACCCATAGGCAGACCAGGTCACCTCAGCCACAGAGGTGACCATGGAATTCAGGGGAGGCCGGGAGGGAGCAAGACTGGAAGGGGGGCCAGCTGTGAGCAGCAGGGGGCACTGAGGCCACCAGAGTGTCCCTGGTACCCTGGCTGCCCACACGGATCAGGAGCTTCAGCTAGCTCAGGGTGGCTGTTCTGTTCCGGTGACGGGAGACGGCCAGTGACTCAGCACCAGGTAAACACATCTACCACATCAAGCATGCAGGAGCGCACACGGGACCACGGGCGGTGTGTGACCACGGGGCCACTTTATGGGGTGGCTGGGCAGGGCTCTGAGACTTGAGCACACACCAGCAGCCCTCTGAAGGCTGTGGCTGGGGCCTAGGACGCTGGCCCCGAATGGGACCAAGCTGGCGTGCGAGGACGTGGAGGGGCCCGTGTCTCTGGGGGACACTGAGCAACCCCTGAGACGGGGAACATGGAACAGCCGGGGGTTGATTTTACACGAACATGCACTGGTCTCTAATTTGTCCAAAAAAAGCTGTGCTTCATGAGGGGGTGCCCTTGACTGAGTCAGGGAAGGTCACATGGCTGGGACCAGCACAGCCTTCAGTTCTCGGGTGGGTCTCGTCTTAGGTCACTGTTGTGACATTGACGCTTGCCCGAGTCTTCGTGAAGAGTCCTTTTATCAAACTCCGCTCAGACTGCCTGACTCCCACGTGCGGTTTCCTGCTCGGGAACGGATACCAGAACGGCCTGGGAAACCGGAAGCAGAAGCTCCGAAGGGATTCTGATCCCGGGGCGCTCACCTGGGTGCAGGGCCCACGGCTAGCCTCCTCCCTGGCAGGAAGTGGAAAACAGGTGCCATCGTCAGTCTCCCCACGCATCAGTTCCCAGGGCTGCCCGAACAAAGCATCGCAAAGTGGGGGCTGAAAATAGCAGAAATGGATTCTCTCGCAGCTCTGGAGGCCGGGCCGTTAGCAGGGCTGGTTCCTTCTGGAGGTCCTGAGAGAGAACCTACTCCATCTCCAGGCTTCTGGTCGCTCCCGGCAATCCTGGAGTCCCTTGGCTTGCAGAGGCCTCCCTCCAATCTCCACCTCCCTGGAGACATCACATTTCATGTATGTGACCTTGTCTTTGCCCCTGTTAAGGATATTTGCCATAAGATTTAGGGCCCACCTTGATGCAGGATGATATCAATTTGAGATCCTTACCTTAATTACAATCCTTAATTGCAAAAGCCCTCTTTCCAAACAAGGTCCTGTTCATAGGTTCTGGGTGGACCTATCTTTTGAGGGGCCCACCATTAAAACCGCCACAGTCCACTCTTTGGTCCCCCAACATCTATGTCCATGTCGTGTGCAGAATACATCCAGTGCGTCCCAGCACCCCCAAAGCCTCAGCACCACGGTATGAACTCCAGGCCTACAGTCCCACCTGAGTGTGACCCGCTCACGAGCCCCAAGTGTCACCATCTGACTCAGGTGCGAGTGAGACTCTGGGTGTGGCCTGTCCCTGCTTCCAGAGTACACAAAGACAGACATTTCCATCCCAGAAAGAGAAGCTGAAGGAATGAAGGAGTCACCATTCCCAAGGAAATTCACAGTCCCACAGGGAAGCTTCAGTTAAGTTCCAAGGCCCGAGGAGAATCCTCTGTCACAGGACGCACCACCCTTGGGGCCATTCTTCTTTCTTCCTGACAGGCCGCACAACCTTGCTGCTCGGCGGCTCCATCAGCCCCTGTCCTGCTTGTAGAGCTGTGTGCGTCCCGCGGTAATCTTTCCTTGCGTCCTGAATCTGTTCCTCCCAGTCCCAGCTGGCAGGCTTCTGCTGATCCAGCGTTCTCAAGGGCCTGCTGTGTGTCCCATCACACAGGAGGGCCCTCCACGGATCTCCCCCACCCGCCCACGAGCCCACCTGTACCCCTGGGTTCTGCTGAGACAGCCAAGTGGGTTCAGTCGCTCCGCTAAGCTCTCCAGCAAGCGGCTGTGCAGCCACACCCTTGGCCCTCTGTTTAGAATATGCTTTTCCAACAGTCCACTTCCCAATTTTTGTATTCTTTGCAATCTGGATCAGCCAAGAACCTCCCAAATCGTTAGGGGCTGGTTCATTTCTGCTTAAGAGACCTTCCTCAGGGGCGCCTGAGTGGCTCAGTGGGTCAGGTGTCTGCATTCGGCTG